TAACCTACTAACCTTTTAAATAATTAGGTTAATTTAATCATAAATAATTCTCCATATTTACTAGAGGGGCTAGATTATCATTGTACAAATATTCAGTTAATTTGACTGTTAATATCGGATACTAAAGCTAATTAGTAAAGATCTCAATTTATAAAATGTATTCTACATCTAATATAACTTAATACTATGGAGGTTGAACTTCTATGATGGTGATATTATAATCAGTTTCATTCAAATCAATAATTGAAAGTTCTATGACATCTTAATAATCAATATCAGAAAGTAATTAAACTCTCTAAGAGAATTTAATTCTAGCATATTAGTATTAGTTTTTCTATTCGATAAATTCACACATAAGCTATGGATACTTAACAAATGTGCAATCATAACCTTAATTGCAAATCCAATCAATTTCCACTTAACATGTTTAAGAGCATCCATCTCCACTATCTAGATTTCCATCATCACATTATTCTTAAACTTACAAGATCCCATCTCCACATACATTTGAGCATTAATTTTCAATTAACTAATATCCAATATTACAATTAATGCAAATGCCATCAATACATTCATAACAATTGAGAGGACATGAAAACTTACATTGATAACAGCCGTCATATTCTTAAGTATTATTATCTTCGCATTACTCGTTGCCCGCTATGATGGAATCCCCACAAGTTGTAGAACAGACTTTATTAATAAAATTAAATCCTGGCAAACATAAATCTAGACATTTTCCCTTTTCACAGTTAACACATCCTTTTGGACAAGAATAACGGCAATAGAAACAACCATCAAATTCGATATCATTACCATCATCACAATCTTCAGATTCTTAAATTGCAAGATCTCCGCAAATACTAATGCATTCGTTATCAAGTAATTTTAAATTGTTCTTACATGAATAACATATGTTATCCACACATTCCTCACAATTTAGATCACAAAAACATTTCTCAAGTGTGTAAGGTGATATTTAATCTCCGCAAAGATCTTAACACTAACCTAAAATTAAATTCTATCCAGGTTAACATTTATAACAAACATTGTCTATACAAGTCTAACATTATGCTTAACATAGATTCATTTTCTCAACTTAGACACAATAATTAGTTTGCAATAAAGGTGTCATTCTCACATACTTAAGAAATGACCGAATTAAATTATAAACAATGATCAATGGATTAAATTTAATAATTATTGCAAGAGAATTCCTAACCCATTTGTTTTTGACAACTAAATTCATTTTCTAAATAAGTCCATCCCTCAAAACATTCAAGACAGATCATATCTTAACAGACTGAACATCCCTCTACACATGAGAACATACAGCCAAAGCAACCATCAAATGGAAGCAAATTGCCATCATCGCATTATTCTTATAACTCAACAACTTTATCACCACAAATTGTTCTTTCTAAATTCATATTCTTTTTATACTTATAAGAATTTAAATATCTCTTGCTCCAAAAGACTCATCAGTAAATGGTCCATCCAAATTATTTAAAATATAAGCTGTGGAATCTTTTACATGATGAGGAAATGTCATATCTATATTAATAAATACATCTTCTGAAGTTGAATCACAGATTCCATATAAATATTTAGGCAGCGAGGTTAGTGGCGATTCCCATATTACTTCCCCACCAACTGTCGTTTTAAATTTATCTTCCCATTCCCAACTTCCAATCCTCAGATACTTTAGTTTTACTTTCATTTATGCATGGGCTGGCAAGTTCTATAAATTCAATATCATTTGAGTATTTTATCCACACACGCCTTTCCCACATATAGTAGGAATCGCTAAAATGAAATACTAATCTCTTACTCATACATTGCTATTTATTCTGATCTCCATTTACAATAGTCCATCCATCTGTAATAAAGTTGGCAAAAGTGAGTTCCGTATAGGAGGAATGAGCTAATGTCCATGTGATACAATCAACATCCTTATCTATACTACTACAAACAAGGCATTCTGGAGGACACAGGAAAAGAAAGAGGTGGAAATTCTTGAAGCCCCAAGATTCCTTTATTTATGAATAATCATACCAGTGAAGGGAAAACAGGGCACGGACCTAA